AAAGGCGATCGGATTTGGTAGATTGCTTTCGGCAGTGGATTCAAATGTAACAGTGCGGTCTGGAAATGCAACCAGAACCTTAAAAAATCGACGATGGACCATGAAATTACATATATATGCTCAAAAATCACAGTCAATAAACAGTCAAATAGGCAGAGGACTAAATTGTGTTAAAATTACAAAGTTAAGGACTTAATTGGTTGAAATTGAAAGTCGAGGACCAATTTGTGAATTTAGCTATAGTCGAGAAACCATTTTGGGTATTTACTCTTTTCATTTTTATCTCTTTATGTTTATATATATATATATATATATATATATATATATATATATATATATATATATATATATATATATAAGAAAGTTCAAGTGCGGCGGGGTCTTCCCGTGCGGCGGTGCGGTGAAATTTCAGAATACACCAATAGTGTTAACAACATGCACCAATAGTGTAAGGGAAACACACCACAATGAAATGCAAAAAAAAAAAAAAAAAAAAAAAAAAAAAAAAAAAAAAAAAAAACACAACAGACCAAAAAAAAAAAATACATCATATAACTCACTACCCGCAATGATGTATTTCCGAACAATGTATGGTGTTTTTAATCACACCTAATGGTGTATTTTTTGTAATGCGTACCTAATTTGTGTGTGTTTTTGTAGTGTATTTTTCTAACGTTGATAGTGTATATTTGATGAACTATTGGTGACGTCGCACCGTAAGACACCGCTGCACTTAACCTTCATATATATATATATATATATATATATATATAGGGATGCACTCAGGTGCAAATAAGTGCTCAGGAGGGAAATGCGAACGAATCAGCGCGCGACACGTGTCCAGATCTAATAACTTAAAAAAAAATGCGGTGGCATTTTCGTAAATAATTGAACATCGAAGTGCAAGTAAAATCACTTACAAGTGCACCTACTTTCACCTATAAGTGCATGTAATTTTGCCTTGTTAGCATTCACTTTCCGCAAACATTCATGCACCTGGGTGTGCTTATAACTATATGTGCAACTATTTATAACTATAGGTGCAACTACTTATAACTATAGGTGCACCTACTTTCACCTATAAGTGCATGTAATTTTCCCTTGTTAACATTCATTGATCTGAGTTCAGCGGGTAGTAATACCCCTGAAAACCACTCGCAAACATTCATACACCTAGGTGCAACTACTTATAACTATTTGTGCAACTACTTATAACTATTTGTGCAACTAAGTATTGATGCTCAGTGTAAATTTTTACTTGCACCTATAATACATTTTACATGCACTTGTAATACATTTTAGGAATAAGGTCCAAATTGACCCCTAAACGAAACGTGAAAGTGTAATTTGGTCCCTGAACGTAAAAGAAGTGCAATTACCCCCCTCAACATCTCAAATGTGTGCAATTTGACCTGATAGCAAGTTAACATTCCGTCCAACCGGTTATATGATGATGTGTATGCTGACTTGGCATTTTTTTTTTTAATTTCCTTTTCTTCCATTCACCGTGTATTAAGGCAAAGCTTCAATAGAAATTCCCTAACCAGCATCAAAAATTCCATTCATCGTGTACCTGCATCAGAAATTCCATTCACTGTGTACATGCATCAGAAATTCCCAAACCACGCCTGTGAAAGCTATTAACTTGTTCGTTGTTAATATAACTATGTAAAATTGAATATTTTTTCATGAAATTTATCCTGCTTGTAAATTTGAGAGAAGATATCGATGGTGGAATATTACAAATGCTAGAGTTAGTTGTTTTGTAAAGAAGAAGACAAAAGAAGGAAATAAAAAAAAATGCCAAGTCATCTTTCCAAAAAAAATGCCAAGTCATCATCCACGTCACACATGCAACCTGCTAGATGGGATGTTAACCTGCTATCAGATCAAATTGCACATATTTAAGGTGTTGAGAGGGGTAATTGCACTTTTTTTTACGTTCAGGGACCTAATTGCACTTTCACGTTTCGTCCAGGGGCCAATTTGGACCTTATTCCTACATTTTACTTGCACTTCGATGTTCAATTATTTACGAAAATGCCACCGCATTTTTTAAAAAAATCAGTGTTTCTCATCCATTAGATCTGGACACGTAGACGAACAGAATTCATTCCTATTTCGCGCCTGGGCGAAGCATTCGCACCTGAGTGTGATTATATATATATATATATATATATATATATATATATATATATATATATATATATATATATATATATATATATATATATATATATATATATTGGTAGGATATATCCCGACCGACATGATATGGGTTCTTCTTGTAGTTTGCGCAGGATCTTTAGACCGGGCGTCGTTAAGACAAGGCGGTCGGATCCGACCTCTAGAATTCCCGACCGCTGTTATTACCCGGTCATCGTGCCTTTACTTTACGAAGAGACAGAGATGTTGGATAGAGGCACGTGACAATGTTATGCGTTGACAGAGAAGGTTCACCGGGTGAAGACGCGTGGACGTTACGTGGGTTAAATGCCGGTAGGCCAGAGGTTCGTCTCCGGCCAAAGGCTATAAATATCCACGGCGGCTACAGTGAGGGGGACTTTTTGGATGATTGATAGGCTATTTACAGAGCTGCCCGACCGCAGTCAGTCGGTCCTCGGAAGAGTCATTTAAATTGTATTAGGTCATCTTCTTACTAATAAAATACCCTTTATTACTATTACTTGTTCTCATTCAGTACTTGGACCGCTAACACGTGAGTATTAGTACTATCATTTTGGTGCCGTCTATGGGGACCAGTACGAAATGTCATTGTAGACGCGTATCTGACCTCTATCATCATGTATCCGTTCATCATGTATCCGCTCAGAATGAGCAATAATCGATAGACCATTTTGAAAAAAACTTTAAAATTAAATTCACAAATAGGTTATTAGCCATAATGCAACTATAGAGAATATGGAATATGCACCTATATGCCCTCCCAAGTCTCCATGATGGTTTGATTTATTTGTTTGCAAAGGATGCAACAAAGATAGAATTCACCAATCAAATCTGATAAAGAATACATAAATGAAGCTTTGCACATAGACAATTTAAAGTATATTGTAGTAATGCTGAAAATCCAATATAAGATAAAATATTTTGCAGGTACACAAAAAATAATGTTAAATCTTCCAAGTCTTTGCTTAATTTGAATATAAATATTTTATTGTTTCTTCAATAAATAATAAATCATGATGAGCGACTGAGATCAATCATTACTTTTTTGTATGAGTACTCTATTCTCATTTGATTCCACATACACAGAACATAAACATTTCATCATTTGAGGATACTATCTAGTGAGATTATTAAGGATATTATCCAGTGAGATTATTTCTCTTTAATCCAATATTTCTGCCACAGGTCATAGTTATGCATTCTTTAAATATTTATTTTATGAAAAATTTGATATTCTTGCATTGATATACGTCAGAATACCGAATGATATTTTGATAAATTCTAAAGCACTAATTTAAAAATACACATTGGGCATTCGACTATTCGCACAATGCGAACTAGTTTCTTCATAAGTATCAAGTCATATATCTCTGATTAGGTTTATATTTTTTCATTAAAAGTATTACATTTCTATCTAAACTCGACACGTCTCACAAAAAAATCAGTAAGGCAACCTCAAAGGAGATTCACTTATAAAAAATAAAAAATTTCTACCATGTCATAAAATTATTGGATAAGGGTCGAATAAACCCCTCAACTATATACCAAAGTTCAATTAGAAACTCGAACTAAAAAAAAAAAAAAAAAACTTAAACTTGTTAGGGTCGAATTATGAACTACTGCCGGCAAATTATACCGTGGACTGCGGTCCACAATGTATTGTGGTCCAGACATCAAATATGTACTGCAGTTTCATTTCAACACAACTACAATATCATTTTGATATAACTACAGTTTCACTGGCCAATATACACTCAAATATGTGAAATTGTTATTCAATTTCATTTTGTATACACTGCAGTTTCATTTCAACACAACTACAATTTCATTTCAATTCAATTGCAGTTTCATTTGATAATATAATAAAAATAATACGTGAGACAGTGTCAGTTTAAGTACACTATAGTGTCTGTCGTTTTGAACTATGGTCCACAAAACTTTGTGGACCGCAGTCCACAATATAATTGCTGCTTGGCTGCCATGGCGGGCTTCTCCATCCAGGATGGAGAAGCCCGCCAAGGTTCTTCGTCGATGTCAATCAAGCTGCCATGGATGATTGCCATGCCAGCTTGCCAAGCTGCCATGGGTATTTATATGTATTTATTTATTTAAATTTTGTATAAAATAAATATTATTATTTTAATAAATAAATAAATATGTTAATTATGTAAATTTAACAAGTTTAAAGATCTAATTAGAAGTTTTTTAGTTTGAGGGTCTAATTATGCTTTGGTATATAATTAAAGGGTCTATTTCAATCCTTATCCTAATATATAATTATCTATTTATCTTTGTATTTACAAAAAATATCATTGCCATATTGGTTGTATGTTTGTAAATTTGGTGGGGTCGCAGCCAAAACCAGGCAGGAGCTAAGCTTAGGCTTAGCCAAACTAATTAATGAGAGATGAAAGCAATGACTTCACCTCACCTGTAAATGAATGCCTTAATTAGTTAATCCCAGTACGCAGATAGCTAAGGATATAAATTTGTAACACAAGGTCATGAGTTCAAACCCCAATCTTCTTAATAATAATTTACCGACTAAAATCACAACACAAAGTTTATCTAATACGCACCCACAATTTGCTGACTAAGATCACAACATCAAAGTTTATCTAATACACACCAGGCCACAGAGATAGTGAGTGAAGATCTCCCTCGTCGTCCAAAAAAAAAAAAAAAAAAAAAAAAAAATGCCTCAATCAAACTCTCACAACTCTTTCCATATGCTTTAATTTGCTCTATTGACTAATCTGTTCCTTCCCCAACAACAACTCCTCTTGAAGTTGAAGGTGAGATCAATCTGTTCCATGGAAACACCATCCAACATTCTCAGGAGATCAATCTTTACTTTTCTGCAGAAGTACCACTACTTCACCACCATTGCCACATTCTTAGCTTTCCCATTTGCAGCCTCAACTCTGTTGCTGCAATCTTTGCTCCCCTCCCAAATCCCAATAATCCATTCTCTTCTTCCTTCTTCTTCAATACTTTTCTCCATCCTCCATACAAAGCTTTCTCACACCATAGCCATATCTGTTCTTGCATTCCCTTCCACCCTTTCCTCCTTTCTCTTCTGCAAAGCCTCTGTGATTCATGCGCTGATGATGAGCACCAATCAAGAATGCCCATGGCCATCTTTTTCTTGTCTTTTCAAACTTCACATCCCTTTGATTCATACCCAAATCTGCAACTCCTTATTCACCCTCTCTTCCCTATTCATTGCCTTCAATCTGGCAGATTATGGATTGGGCCTTTCTTCCCTGTTTTTTTCCGCCATTGGAGCTCTGGTTTTCTCCTTAATCTGCAACCTGGCATTGATTCTATCAGCAACCCAGAAAAGGGGAGGCTTTACTGCACTTCTTAAGGCTTGTGTTCTGATCAAGACAAGGATTGCCACAGCACTATCATTAGCCCTCCCAATCAACGCCACCATGGCTGCAGTTGAAGCTCTGTTCCAATACAGAGTTGTGAGGGCTTATCATGATGATGGGGTTTTCTCAGCTGCTTTGGAGGGGTTGTTCATTGCATATCTGTACGCTCTTCTCATCGTACTCGACACCATTGTTGCCTACTTTTTCTTCACAACTTGTGAGGAACACAAAGATGGAAGGAAGAAGATTGCCCAAGATCAATCCTTAGCTTGCAGCTGCAGGAGTATAAAGATTGTTGAAGGCCTTCCCTGGTGAAAAGAATCAATTATTTATACTTTCAAACTGAGAAAATTTCACTTTTGGAGGCATGATTATGTAATTTTTATTACATTTGGTCCTGCCGTTCAATTTTCTGACCAAAAAGAGCATTGCATTTGCTTCTTCCGGAAGGAGTACTTCCAGCAATAGTTGATCGGTAGATTAGACGATAGGACTAAGTGTAATACAAGTTACATAGTCATGTATAATGGTTCAGGGACCAAAAGTGAAATTTACTTCTTTCAAGCTTTTACAAGTTACAATTTCACTTTTGTATAGTTTTCTTTGGACCAGATATATAATTCCAAATTTGATATGAAACTATCAACTTACAAGCTTTAAATTCAATTGTTTGGCTTCAGTTTCTTTTGCTAATAAGCTTTTATGCCACAAACTTCCAACACTTAATTGGATTATGGATAGGAGTTGCTAAATGGTTAGAGGCACTGCAGTTTCCCTTGACTTCTAGATCAGTTATTTTGTCCTTTTGATTGATTTTGTATTTGCTAAATACTGGTCATAATTGGTACAAACTACAAAGTTAGGGCGGCCATTCATTTCTTGGTATTGTAATTAGCATAGAATCAACGTTTTTCTTTAAAAAAAAAAAAATTCAAATACACCCCTACACATTGTAAAATAAAAGAGCAACTAGGTCCATGACCTTTAAAAATGTACATGAACTTATTAAAATCAATTACATAAGTCCTATTTATCGTTGGTTACGGATAAAATTTCAATGACTTGACATACAGACCACCGTTGATCGACACACACCACCATTGATTATCTTGGTTTAAAAAAAAAAAAAAAAAAAAAAAGGCGACCTTCAGGCTACAAGCATCGCCTTCTTCTTCAATGACAATGACGATTACCGATTTAATAGTCAAACCCTAACTGAAACTTAATTACCGGATATTACCGGTAAATAATCAATTACTGAGTCAAATGCATCAAAAAAACAAATTTATTTAATTACACATTTTTTAAGTTCGACAATCTAATTACTCTTTCATATAATGTTTAGGGGCCTATTGACTCTTGTTTTTTTTTTTTTTTGAAGGGTTGGTTAGATTGGAATATAAGATAGCATTTACCAAACCTTAGCCTAAAACTGATGTCAATACAATGCAGTGCAGGCACGTAGGAACATATATTACTGCAAAAGAGAGTTTTAGCCGTTCAAGTAAAGTAAACCCCACCAAAACCCGGCCGGATTCATTCTTACATCACAGACAAGACTTTCAGTTCCATTGGATAAAGCAACTACCATACTACTCTAGAGCCAGAAAGTGAAACCAAAGTTGACAACTTAACCAACAAAATATTGTATTAATACTTGACATGATCACAAAAATATATGTTCAGAAAAAGAATTAGCATATAGTAAAAGAAAGAGACATCTAATCTGCCAGCCTATGCTTTGATACATCAGTGTTACACTAACACATCCTATCTCCCTACTACCCTACTCTACCCTCTGCTAATTTCTGTACAACAAATTTCGTGGTCAATTCCCACCAAATTCTTTCATGGACAGGAACCTCTCCTATGTTACAATGAATTAATCAAAATATTGAATCTAGATACAGTGCTATGTTTTATACAAGATTCATGGATACCTTCAGGTCTTCCACTTTACAGTTTTGATGGAAATACCTCAGGTGTCGAGTGCAGAAACCTGTCCGACCATGGCATATGGAAGGTGATTCATCAAATCAATAACAAAATTTACACTCTGAAAAGCACGCACTCTCTTTAGTTTTATTTTGAGAAGCTCTCTTGGTCGAAGCACTTGACATGACTTCCAGGAGTCGTTGCGTGATGGTTTGACTTGTCTGCAACCGGCTACTATCCAAAAATTGCACCGGCATGTGATTCTGCTTCCCCAGTTGAGCCATTAACAGCACTTCAGGTTTACAAGCCTTAGAAATGCACTTCATACCTTGACTTCCACAAAGCCAAAGTCCTTACCTAAGTACTGGAGGTTTTGTGCAATGAGTGCCACAAGGCAATGAAGACAGATTGTCTGATACCATAAATTCCTCGGGCAGGAAGACATTAAACAATTCTCATCCTTTAGGACCTTTCTTTGTAAGGTTAATTCCTTTAGCATTCTCCATTTCAGCCTCCTTCTGAGCTTTCTTCTTTTCTAATTCAGCCTGTTTCAAGTTCTCCTCATGGGCTTTTTTAAACAACCTCACAAAGTTTAAGAGAGTTGCAGTAACTGCATAAATCATCAAACACCAATCAAATTAGAATCAGCACTCTGTCTCTTTGATGTCATAATTGACACAAAAGTGGCAAAATCACGAAACTGTACTGACTGATACATACAATACATAGACCACAATCAATAGAATGAGAAAAGAGGAATCAAGAAAGCATCATTTAAAACTAGACATTTTGGGTACTAATGATATCATAGGTTCAGGGTGAATTGATTTCCACTCCTTGTTTTTTGGTTAGCAACTTCATTTCTCTTCCACTAGAGCTATGAACCACTTGATAAAGCTATACTGTTATGAAATAGTACTCTGTAAACAAGGAAGAAAATGTTTGAACTTTGAAGTCCTAGTTTTAATATACTATAAGAGTAGAGGACAGTACAAACATTTATGATGTGATTCTAATCTTCACTTGTACTTGGACAACTTCCATAAGATCAAAAGTATATATAAAAAAAATTCATGAATCCTGGTTACCAGAATATGAAGATAAAGAATTACTTCATGGAAAGAGCCTCCTCTATTGTCACATGCTAAATAATATTCTTATTAATAACCATCACCTATATGTTATGGCATCAGCACTATCTATGAGACTATGACCATTGACTACATAAACAAATATGCATAAAAATGTTAGCACATTTTCAACAATGTTTGAGAATAATTATGCAGGCTCTCCAACACTATTTTCAATTTAGTTCATGACTATTTTTGGGCTATTTTCTCCATCACTTATCATCAATTTCAGACAATATTGTAAAAAGAAGAGTGAAAAAGAAAGATGATCCGGGTTTGACCAGGCTACTATGAGTTGTTGATTGAACTAGTCCTGTCCGTTTGGAAACCTGGAAAATGATTTCCAAGAAATGGCTCGTTTTCCAGAAAATATTTTAATTTTTTGGTGTTTGGCTGAAGGTCAGAAAACTAGTTTTCTGTTTAGCTAAAAGTTAAACTTTTGTATTTTTCCTGTTTGGTTCATTTTCTAGAAAAATGAACATATTATTTGTTATAATAAGTGGGGTGGTGGTGGTGGTGATGGTGGTGGTGGTGGTATTGGTGGTGGTGGTGATGGTGATCATGATGGGGATGGTTGTGTGATGGTGGTGGTGGTGGTGGTGGTGTTGGTGTTAGTGGTGGTGATGGTTGGGTAGTGGTGTTGGTGTGGTGGTGATTGTGGTGGGTGTGGTAGTGGTGTGTTGGTAGTGGTGGGAATAATAATAATCTGAAAATTAGAAAAGAGATGAGAGAGAAGATAAACATGGAAAATAAAGAATCCGGAAAATGTCTTTAAACTAAAAATCTAGGAAGACATTTTCTGCCAAATTGAATCTTTTTTCCGTGGACCAGAATCAATATTTTCCTGCAACTCTATTTTCCTTGAATACCCAAACACAGGAAAATCCGGAAAATAACTTCCGGAAGTCATTTTCTGAGTTTCCAAACGGACCTAAGAGAATCAGGTCCGTTCAGTCCTCTTAAGAAGAGGTTTTCAATAAGTTTTGATACAGCCCTATTTCTATTTACAGAAAGATCCCAAGTGGAGAATGTGAAAATGTCAATCCTAGTTGTGTTTGATATATTAATTGTTGTAAATCACATAACTACATAAGATCCAAGTCATCCAACAAATGGAAATCTTCAAAACTCATGAAGGCACAGCTAGATTTCCTCAGTTTATAAATGATCTTCGAGATAGGAAATATGTTACAAATCTAACCTTGCTCAAATGGGCAGCGGGCAGGATCCTCACCAAAATACAGTGCCAGTGCATCTGCATTCCTGCCCTGTGCATCAAGTACAGAGATTCGATACCACAGAAGAAAATTAGATCTAATTATGCAAAAAATAAAATAAAAATAAAATATTGAGTAAAGGAAAATGTTTGAGTTTACCGCTGTGGAATATAAATTCGTCACAGACGACACCTCTGTTTCAGCAACTCCAACGAATTCTTTTAGTGTCTGTTTATTAAGGGTGTGAATGAGGAAACTAATTAGAATTAATCTGAATGCTGAAATCATTTTCCTGTAATATGGCTTAGAAGATTGTTTGCCATTGAAGACGGCGCTTAAAAACAAGTTGCAGCTGAATGTGGAATTAAAAACTATTTCTGTGATACCTTCCGAAAAATTTCAGATACAGGGCCATCAGTTTCAGATGTAGCTAGTTCCTGCTTTACTTTTTCCAATCCCTTGATAATTGCTTGCATTTCCTCTGCTAAAGATTTCAATTGTATCTGAAGGCCCAAATCAATTTTTAGTAAATTCTAGTGATTCCCTAAATTTTTCTGTTTCTGTTAATCATAAACAAGAGATTAAATACTAACCTTTGATGCAGCTTCTAGGCTTACAAAATCCACATGAAAGTCCAGAAGTGCGGGTGACCTTGAAGCAAAAGCCTAATAGAAGAGAAAGGGATTAAACAACAGCCTCCACAGCACTTAACACCAATTAGAGTGAGCAAAAAAAAAAAAAAAAAAAAAAGAGGGTGGAGGTGATAAATTCGAAAACTGAAACACATAAATGTACAAAAAACAACAATCTGCAGAATTAGAACGTGAAGTCTGGAAATCAGAAGGCAGATCCTATACATTTTGAGAATACGCATAACAAGGTTAGTAAACAGAACCAAGTGAACCCTTTAGTACAAGCTACAGAACTCGTAAATGATGGTTATATGATTGGTAAACATGCTTCAATCCATTTTACTCATATACACAATCATCTAAGTATTAGAAGACGGCCTTAAAATGATTATTAAAGATAT